TTCTCTGGCCTAACCTTTTCTCATCCTTCTAGGTTATTTCAGACATCACCACTTTCAGACTTCCTTGAGATTCTTAGACATTTTTGCTCTTCTAAACCTAACACGGTGCCTGAATTTGTAGTTGTTCAGTACTGGTTTAGTTATTAAATTGATCCTAGAATCTGAATTATTTCCTTGGTTGCTTTGTTGGTTTCCTTATTTCTGTTCTTCCCAACGCCAGAGCATTTCTGTAGCAGATACAGCAGCAATTTTCCTAAAGCATCATATCAGCCAGAGTTGGGTCAGGAGACCAAGAAATGCAAGTTACAGTTTTAGCAGATCTGCTGAGGTTATAATTCAATACACTATGCATATTTAAAGTGCCTAAATCTCTTCTTTAACCCATATGTATTTTCTAAGTTTTCAAATATTTAGGAGTTTCTTCTAGGTGTATTGTTACTTATTTCCAACTCCATTTGGTCAGGGAAACAAATTAAAGGTTTCAAGCTTTTAAAACTTTCGAGGGTTAGGAATGTAGCTGAGTGGTTGACTGCATGCCTAGCATGTGCAAAGCTCTGGGTTCAATCCCTACTTTAAGTCTCCCACATCCCTACTGATATTTATCCACTTGTTTTATCAATTGATGAGGGGGATGTTAAAAGCTCAGACTGAGTTAGATTTGTCCAGTTCTTTCTTTAATTTTGTCAGGTTTTTATGTATTTGAAACTCTGTTGTTAACATGTACACATTTATATCTCTAGATGATTGGCCCTTTAGTCATTATAAAATTCTCCTTTTTATGTTTACTAATCTCCCTTGTCTTAAAGTCTATTTTGTCTGATAGACATATAGCCACTTACCTTTCTTAGGCTTGTTGAGTAGTTTGTCTTTTTGAAACCTTTTACATTCAATCTATTTGTTACTTTGTTTTTAAAGTATGTCTCTTATAGACACCATGTAATTGGATTTTTTTTATTCAATCCATATGCCTTTTCATTGCATTTACTGTAATGATCAAAATGCTTGGCTTCAGCTCTGCTAGTTTACTGTTGCTTTGTGTGTGGCCCATCTATGTTTCCCTCCTCTCTCCTTACCTGCCTGCCTTCTTTAGGCAAATTCAGTATGTTTTAGAATCCCATTTTATCTGTTGGCTTTCTTAGTTATATATCTATGAATTATTTTTAGTGTTTTCCCTAAGGATTAAATTATATATCTTTAAGTATTCACAGACTATTTTAAGGTAATATTGTGTTATCACTTGATATAAAATATAAGAATGTTGAAACATACAGGCCTATTAACCACTCCATCACTTATGCTATAGTTGTCATATAAGTTATATTTACATTTGTTTAAAAGTATGTTATACATAGCATAATTTTTAGTGTTTTATATATATGTGTGTTAAAGAAATTAAGAGAAAAAGCAATCTTTTATATTTACCTGCATATTTTTTCCATTTCTGTTATTCTTTTTTTTTTTTTTTGGCAGTACTGAAGTTTGAAGTCAGGGCCTATGCTTACTAGGCAGGTGCTCTACCACCTGAACCACTCCTTCAGCCCATTTTGCTTTTAGTTATTTTTCAGTTCACTTTTTGCCAGGCCAAGCTGGGATGACACACAAGCTACAACACCAAACAGTGGTTGAGATGGGACCTCACAAACTTTTTGCCCAGGCCAGCTTCAAACCATGTTCCTCCTGATCTCCAGCTCCTGACTAGCTAGGATTTCAGGCATGAGCCACCAGGCCCAGGTTTTCCCTTTTCTAAAATTTTGTTGATATTGCTCATTTTTTGTCATTCACTCCTCTGTTCCATTTCCCCATGTAGCTTTGTACCTTTTTATTCCACTCCTGTCATTTCCGTGGGTTTAGACGAAGGGATGAGTGAATACCTCTTATAGCAGATTATATCTACACCTGCCATATATTCCCTTGACAGTATGTCTGCAGCTCCCATATGCACTGTGTCTCTCTGCTTTTCTCAGAGTCCTCTCTGGAGCCTTAGGCTTGTTCATTGTAAATGCAGTGCAACCTGGAGTGCCAGGGTCAACCCTCAACAGTGGGGGTCAAGAATCAAAGAGATAGTCCACCTTCCCTCCCTGGAAGGACAATTCTGAGTTACTTAGTAGGATCAAATCTCTTTTACCCCCAGTGATAATTTGCTCATTAATACACTCTATAGTGACTTTTGTCCCTTCCTTGTATGAACATTCTCCTCCTCTCAGTGGTGCTTCTTATGATCACTGGCCAACTCAGCTACCTGCATCAGTCTTTCTCATAGTCTACTTTTCAGGGAGCTTAAACTAACCCATGTTCAAATTGCTGTGTTTTACAAATACATTTTCTATATTTATTTGAGAAACTATGATTTTCTAGACACTGTAAAATTTAACTGGTAGCTTGTATTAATTATTAGTTATTTTTAATGTTTATCATATATACTTGTGTGTATGTATATATATAATGTACATAATCCATACTTGATCTTCAGTTCACTGACAATAGGAACTATGACTTCCACTTATGTATCTTTTCCAGAGTCTTAATAAAGTCCAGTGTGAACAGTGTATACCAAAAGGAGTTTCTTTTTTGTTTGTTTGTATGTTTGTATATTTGCAGTGCTGGGGATCAAATCCAGGACATTCCCCATCCTAGCAAGCATGCTTCTACTGTGCTACACCTCTAGCTCCCAACAAGTGTTTGAACTCAGGGCCTCACCCTTCGTAGGCACTCCATCACTTGAGCCACATCCCAGTCCTTTTGCTTTTAGTTTGTTTTTCAAGTAGTGTCTTGTGTTTTGGTAGGGCCAACCTCAGATTGTGATCCTCCTACCTCTGCCTTCCCGGTAGCTGGGATTTCAAAGATGGTTTTTTTCAATTTGAAATTTTTGTACTAAACATTAAAATAATAGTTTTACAGATGATTTTATATATCTCATCCAATTTTGAGATTTAAATTGAGTGTTCTTAAGAAATTTTCATTAGAAAGTCATTGTCATCCTGAATTATCCTAGTTTACATATTGCTAAATTTTAAAATGATTTTGTCACATACAGAAGAAAATACTTTTTCTGTTTTTCCTCACATGTAAAATGGGAAAGTCAGTGGAAAATGTTTAACTAAAATTCACTTTAAGGAATGCTTTTATGTAAATATAAAGTGATATACATGTGCACTTTCAAATTTCATAAATCTAGTTTCCTATTAGGAATATATTAGTATTTTAATAGAACCTTTCATCAACTAACTATAAGTGGGTCATATGCAAATTAGGAATATTTTAAAAGAGGCTATTTTCATCTACCAACTTTCTGTCTCCTTTATTCATTAATTCCTTAAGCCATATTCATTTTAGAAAAACAAAAGCATTAGTTTTTCTTTAATCCTTATGATTCAGTTTTTCCTTTCACTGAAAAATCATTGGTTGAGTGCATCCCTAAGATTGGCACTGGTAAGTGCTGGGATAGGAGCTGCTACTCAGGTCTCCTTGAGGTGACTGTTCACATAGGGGGCAAGACTGTAATGAATGAAGGTTATAATTTCTCATCAGGCTCCAAACAGGAAATGTAAGATAGACAATAATAGGATGGGACAAGAAAAGAAAAGAGCCAGGGATAGGAATGGGACTGGGAGAGTGGCTCAGTGGTAGAGCACCTGCCTAGCAAGTTGAGGCCCTGAGTTCAAACCTCAGTACTGCAAAACAAAACAAAATGAAAAAACATAAGCGAGGCATAGATGCTCATACATTTACCTATAATCCAGCACTTGAGAAGCTGAGACAGGAGGATCATGAGTTCCAGAGCAGGCTGGACTAAATAGATCCTGTACCAAAAAATAAAAAAAATGCAAAGATTAGGGGTTGGGGGTGAGCAGTGAAATCCTTGGTGGAGATTGCAATACAGGTGTCTTGAGCTGTCTAATTCTTGGTACCCACCAGCAGCTTTTATCTAGCCTACAACTATGAATCAAAGTAGAAAGGAAAGTTTTTCGTGTCAGAGAAGATTTGCTTTTCTTTAATAACCAAGCCTGAAGTGATGATGAGAGCATGTGTTTATGTGTTATAAAGAGCACTGTGTATGCATTGTGATGAAGAATCACTTCCAGCGAATTCCATAATTCCTTCATCCTCTTCCCTTGTGAGAGCTTCAAGTATAAGAATCCTCCTTCTGCTCTTTCTTACTGAGTTACACTTCTAATTTCATAAACTCAGTGTCCTAAAAATAATTCCTTCTCTCCCTATCCAAGTTAAGAGGAAACTATTTGAGAGCAGGCATTGAGTATTGATAACAATTTGCATCTAGAAATTTACAACATGCCCATAATTCATGGATCCAGTAGATATTCAGGTTCAGCTGAAGTTTTTACATGTCCGTCAGTCCCTTCCCTATGTATAATACATACGGTGTGTCTGCTGTGTTCCAAGCTCTGTTCTAGGCACTTTAGTAGAATCAGTGACTACTATGGACAGCAGTCCCTGACCCAGAGAAACTTTTATTTTAGTAATCGTCAGAACCACTCTAAAAGAGTGGATTTATTTAAATTATGCTGCTATCTAAAGTACTGAGTTTCTTTACCGTGCCTCCTCTAGACACTAGGGGAGACAGCATTTTTCATTTCAGAAGAAAAAGATTATTTTGTAGCTAAAGGTTCTGTAAGGATAGACCAGTATGATGTGGCATATTTTCTCAAGTTTATCTTGTAAAAAATGAAACTTTGAAGATACTAAAAATATGGTGGTTTCAGAGACAGATAAGTGGGTGAAGGGAGAAATATTTAAAGACAAGTTATTTGAAGCTTTCTTTGCCTTGTGCTTTAGTGAGGAGAGAGGGAGAAGGCAGTCACCAAATGACTAAGGCATCAATTATAGCTCTGGTCCACTTTAAATAGAGTAGAGAAGCACAGTAAGAAGGCAGAGGACTCAACGGGAAAGAACTCTGTTACGGCACTAAAAATCTTACTTATTAAGAACTGCAATGGATTTCAAATAGACAAGTTTCAGTTTTTTCTCCTGTTAATTTACAGATGTTGTGCCTACTCTCTCCGAAAAAAGCCCATCTCTGCAGACAAATGTGAGTTTAGACAAGAGATCAGATAATACCATTACAGATACTGCAACAGGAAACCTCTTGCAAACACCTTGGGAAAAACAGGCAGCAGCAAAAAGTTTTGAAACATTGACTACTTTACCAGCATCTTGGTCATCCAGTAAAGAAGAGATTGTCAGTCCCAATTTAAGACCATCAAAGTCAGAATCTACTTTCTATAACCAGTCCTCTATAGAGACACTTTATGTCTCTCCCTCATTCGAAACATTTAGCCCAGTAAAGGAGATCAAAACCAGTAAGGGCCTTCAAAAGCCAGAGCAAGCCAGCACCGCTCACATGGAGGACGAAAACCTCAGGACCTTGACCACATGTGGTGAGTCTACCCCAAACCTAACCAACCAACCAAATGAAAATGCACTCTTTGGAGCATTCTTCTTTTACCTTTTTCTGTTTTCTACTTCCTTTTTTTGTTCCCTCTGTTCACTCTTCATCAGCGATATTTAAATGTTCATACCATAGAGGTACTTCTCAGTTGGGAAAGTGAAACCAGAGTTTTGGACCCAAGGCCCAAACTCCTAAGATTCTGTATGCCAGGTTCATCCACCTGCCCCTAAATGCCAAATAAAGAGGCATGGTGAAGATAGAGAAAGGAGGTTTATTACACAGCTTGGGACATGCCGTGGGAAGAGGCAGAATAAGCACTCAGCCCATCTTCAGCCATCTTCAGGGTACAGACATGAGCTATAGAGTTAAGTAGACAAAAGAACTGGGGACAGGGCACACAAAAGTATACATAGTTAAATAGTCCCAGTTACAGGTGTGTTCTGGTTGACCATTATCTAGGTCCAGGGGTTCCCGAGAAGATGTTATCACTGTCATCACTTAAGGGGAGCAATCTGGTTCCCATGAGATGATTACTTCACTCCAGGATGCACCCTCATCATTATAGGTAATTGTCCTCATTTGGAGGGGTAGTCTGTCCTGCATGCTCTTTATGGGAAGTTTCAGTCCCTTGTCATAAAGATGTTATCAGTTCTATCCTTTCTGGAGTCCAAAGTGATTACAAAGTGACTGCAGAGAGAATGGGTTAGAGCAGAGACAGATACAAAATGGAGGAGAGGTGCCATGCTTTTTCTCCTGCTAATAGTTAATTCATGGGCTCAAGAAGGAGTCAGTGCTTTTCAGCACAAGAAGTTTTATAAAAGTACACCTTTTATAAAAGAACTAATCAATAATTTATCATGGTGAGTTACCAAGTACTTGACTGAATATATTACCGTAAGTTCTGAGTAATTTTGTGCAAACCAAATTAGAAGAAACTAGCATTAACTTCAGTGCTTCCTGTCAGATATTTAGGTTACTTATTAAGAAACTATACACTGGGCTGGTGGAGTGACTCAAGTGGCAGAGCACCTGCTGAGCAAGTGTGAAACCCTGAGTTCAAACCTTGGTACCACCAAAAAAAAATAGAGAAACTATAGGAAAAAGGATAGGTTATTATATGTATTTGTGTGTATACACACACAGGTATGTGGGCTCTTTTAAAAAGGTTCTGTACTGACTGCACAAAAGGGGCAAGAGATCATGTCATTTTCCTCTCTATATAAAACATGAAGAGGGTTGGGCATAGTAGGCACACCTGTAATCTTAGCACTTGGGAAGCTGAAGCAGAGGAGTTTGAGACTGGTCTGAGTTACATAGTAAGACTGTCTCATAAAACAAAAAACATTCAGAGGGTTTAGAATGGGTAATACAGGACAAAAACCAGTAGGGATTCCAAGTTGCTGACTGTCAGTTATTAAATCCTGCATTGTATAATTATGCTTTCCTCTTTATAGATAATTAGTAAAAGAATAATTTGTTTGCTCATGCATTTTCCAAAGACTAAGTAGTAGCTTTATTGGTTCTTATATATGATAATGCTTAACAACTCATATAAACTCAAAGCTTTTGATATAAATCTTTTGAGCTGCTTCAAACACAAATCACAGTACATATAAATACAAACAATAGAAGCTACCATGTTGAGGTTAAAGAAATTTACCTTTGTTCTAGTAAAGTCAATGAATAAGAAAAAATTCTCTCACTTTCAAGAATTTTTTGGTACTGAATAGCCTAAAGGTAGTGAAAACTGACAGTTTTATCACCAAATTAACTTTTCTGCTGAAACTGCTAATGTGGAAACCAATTGTACGGGTTCTGATAATTGTGATGGCTTATATGCATGGCTGTCCTATGGGAAGTTGTTAGTTTTGGGTCATTTCTTTCACAAGTACCACAAAAAATAATTAAAAATGCTGTTTGTCCACTGTCTGTGTACCAAGTACAGTTAATAAAATTTAGGAAGAAGTTCCTCTAAAACCAGTTATCTAATGCAAGAAGGACTTTTGCTTCTGGTTGTAATGAAGTATAGTATTAGTCTGACCCTACCACCAACACATCAGTTATTATTAAATTGTCAAGATCATTATAACACAACCAAGGTAGAAAGCTCATAATGGATCAAGATTCCAGAGGAAGGACATCGAGATGAGTTCCTCATCCACCTCAGTTTTCCACTCTTGAATCAGAGACCGAGGTTTCCTAGGTGCTTCCAGTTTCATTGGGTTGGGAGACAGAGTTAGAGTTTGGATTTTCCAAAGTGTCAGGGACTCAAGGGGCCTGAATTCTAGAGCATAGGGAGTCACAGAGAAGAAATTATAAGTCTCTATGTAGCTGACTCCTCTGAAACTACATGTGTTCTGTATGTGATACCAAGGTACTAAATGTGAAAACAGCTTCTAAGAGACCAGCAAGCTAAGCAGAGATTCTGATAATTTTGTGGTGCTTGGCAACAGAGGTGTAGTTTAAGAAATGTCAGATTGTAGGGGCCCTGGTAAATACTCCAGGCTTTCATTTGGTCCCTCTATCAGGCTATATCCTAAAGCAAAAGTACACTATAAGAATAATGACAAACCAGAAATAGGAGGTCCTCACAAATACTGAAAACTAGCTTCACCTCCAGCAAAGTGAGTGACTACTTGTATTTCATTTGCGGTTCAGAAGACAATTGAACCTTTTCATAAGAGCGTCTATCATTTTTTGTGAAAAATTTTTGGCATTCAACAAAAAATTACCAGACATACAGGAAATGAACATATGGACAGAAATATCAGAGGAAAACAGACAATGAAGCAGCTCTACAGGTAATCTAGACTCTGAAGTTACAAGATAGGTACTTTAAAATAACTATGATTAATATCAAGAAAACATAGGCATGAGGGAGCATTTCATCATAATACTAGTATCTGTTTTTTAAAAAGTCAAAAGTTTATATCTGATAATTGCTGTGTTTGAAATTAAGACCTTGAGGGTACTCTTCAGGCTTTGTGGCCTAGGGTATCAAAAGTGAGAGATTCAGTGCTAACAGAGAAGCTGGAGATTATGAAGAAAATCCTAAAAGGGAAGGACACTCAGAAGAGGTGAACCCCACCAGGCATGGTAGTGCAAGCCTATAATCCTAAATACTCAAGAGGCTGAGATCAGGATTGCAGATCAGGCAAAAAAGTCATAAGATCAAATTTCAATGGAAAAATCTGGGTGTGGTAGTGTGCACTTGTCATCCCAGCTATGTTGGGAATCATAAATGTGAGGATCAAGATCCAGGCCGGCCCAGGCAAAAAGCTAGACCCTATCTCAAAAATAAATAGAAAAAAAAAAAAAGGGCTGGATGCATGGCTCAAGCAGAAGAACTCCTGCCTAGTAAGCGTGAAGCCCTGAGTTCAAACCCCAGTACTGCCCCAATAAATAAATAAATAAATAATAAAAAAGGAGGGGGTGAACCCAATAAGTTGTACGTAAACTCTGTCCAAGTCTTTACTGACAACTAAAACTACAGATGAAGGGGAATCCGAGTGAATCTGACTTCCCTGCACACAAAAGAATCCTGAAAGCCAACCCAAAAGGACTGAGAAGGGACTTCAGCTTCTGCTTACTGCAAGAGTGACAGTTTGAAGAGTCCAAGAAAGTTATTTTCCTACTAAAACAATAGTCACTCTTTAAAAGACTGTCACACAATCAAGAGTATAATATAATATATTTGAAGTATAATATATACTCCAAATGTACAGTATAAATTTTAAAAATTACTAGCTATTTTAAGAAATAGGGAAGCATGAGCTGTAACAAAGACATAAGAAGTCAGTAGAAGCTGACCTTTACTTAAGTGATCCAAATGTTGTAATTAATTAGCAGACAATTCATAAAGCTATTAGAAATTTATTTAAGGACTTAGCCAGAAATGGTAGCACACACCTATAATTCCAGCAGTAGGAAGGTTGGGGCAGGAGGATGGTGAATTTAGGGTCTACATAGTGAGACCCTAACTCAGTATAGTATATATTCAACTACTTAAAGTACTCTCAGTGAGTGGACAAAGGACAATAGCAAATAAAAGTTATTTTAAAAGAACTGAGTGAAAGAGATGAGAAATAAATAATTGAAATGAAAATTTCACTGGAGGTGCTTAGCAAATTGAAAATAAAGAAGCAGGTAAGCGAACTTGAAAATGAATTCATAGGAATTATCTAATCTGAAAAATGGAAAGAAGATCGAAAAACTAAAGAGATGCAGTCTTATGGGAGAATATCCAGCAGTCTGGCATTGGGGTAATGGGAGTTCCAGAAGGCACTCTAAGAAAATAGATATAGGCAGAAAAATTATTTGAGGGGATAGTGGTCAAAATCTCTCCAAGTTTGTGGTAGAAATAAGCTTTTGGATTCAAAATGCTCAAGCAGAATAAATACAAAGTAAAACATACTTAGGCACATTATAGTTGAACATTGAATTCTAGGCATAAAATTTTGAAAGCAGCAAGGAAAAAAATGGTCATATTGCATACAAAGAACAACAATATGAATGATGCCTGGCTTTTCAACATAAGTGTGTAAAAAGTCATCTTACAAGTATTAAAAGACAAAAACCTATGAACCTAGAAAAATTAAAAATGAAGGTAAGAAAGACATATCCAAATTAATAAAAACTTAATGATCAAGAAATCTATACTACAAAAACAGTGAAGAAATATTTTCAGACTAATAAGAAATTATACCAGATAGTAACTTGAATCTACAAAAAAGAATGATGAGTACTGGAAATAATAAATATGTGGGTAAATATATTTTTTCCTAATTAAAAAGTACATAGAGCTGTATTTTTTTGGCAGCACTGGGAGGTTGAACTTAGGGTTTGCTAGGCAGGCACTGTACCACTTGAGCCACTCTGCCAGCCTTTTTGCATTGGTTATCTATTTTTTTTGAGATAAGGTATTACTTTATGCCTGAACCAGCCTAGACCACAATCCTATTTGTGCAGCATAGCTGGCATGACAGGCAT